TAACTCAGCTGGCAATGGATATCATGAGGGTAAGTTGAAAACTCAGTTGTTTTCAAAACCAACTGTTTTGATCTTTTTTTCAGGACCAGAATGGAAACCTCCTGCATCATAATTTGAATTTTCGCAGACATGTTGTGCCTTCACTTCAAACCAAATACGATCTTGTGATTGCTCATCGAACCCTTTGTGAATTGGGATCACGGGAATCCCGACTTGAGACCATCGCATCTTTATGGAAAAGGACAACGCGGTAATAGAGTTGTGGTTTGTACACTTCTGGTCACAAGATGGTTAAGGGGGTATTTAAAAGACTCCTTGAGTAAAACTGTTATTGCCGTCATGGAGTTGAGGACTTTTTCTCTATCCGAAGACTGATGAAGCTCTGATTTGGGATTTGAACCAATTTTCTGTGCAAAAGGAGGTTCCGTATCACGGCACGTATAACGGCAGGAGGTTCCGTATCACGGCACTTCATGAGGGTTCTCAGCCGATTTTGCCACATTTACTTTACTCATTCACTTTTCATTGGACGCGAGATTAATTTGTCCTTGAAAATGCTGTGCTCTTCCGTCAATAATCCTTAACATAGTCAAAACGCTTGACTGGATTGAAGCGGATATCGTTTTCTGAACAATAACTTAGCCTTTGGCCTTCCTGATTAGCTGTTCAAACCGAACAAGAAAGATTGCCCAGCAGTTACAAGTGAGTCCGCCCCATTCGCTGACCTGTGTGGGCTTCAATCGCCATCGGCTTCGGGTCGAAGGGCTGGGTCAGCTGAAGCCACCCACAGTGAGTCAGTTTAGCGGTGGTCGAAACTCAAGCTAGCCGTGCTCTCCTAAGGTTAGTTGTTTGTGCTTGTGAGCTACGAGACCTCCCTAGACGCCTTTAGTCTATGGTGAGCTGCTCTTAAGTCTGAAATGGCATTCGGCGGTAGGTCACCTTATCTTTGACTTTCCAGGCTCCGACGAAGGCGACTAGGCCGAAACGTCAGCCAAATAAATTGTTAATATCTTGGCTGTGGTTTAAACATCTAATCAGAAAGACCTCACACGATGCCAAGATTCATTGAAAGTCGATCATGGATGCTCAGCCTTTGGCTTTGCTGTGGACTATCCAACGGGCAGGCTGTGCTTTGATCGCAAACTGGTATACTTGTATTCAAATCCCGATACTGTAAGTCCATGCGCAGATGCAGAACGAACGTGAGGCTTTTCGAAAGTCGTCTGGAGCTGAATTCTTTAGGCTTCAAGGGAATCAGTGTTCATGCTTCTAATGTGCTCGCAAGTAATAGATAGTTATTTAGTCTCTGTTCCAGATTTCTGGTGCTCATTGAATCTGGACTGCATAGCGCTTTCGAAGCGCTGATGGAGGCTCGCGACTTCCTTTTACTGTCCGGCGTTCAGCTGCATTTACAAGACACAACAACTTTGCTGGAAGTAGGAGTAATTTCTATCAGATTCTATTTTTGGTATGATGAAATCGGAGATGTACAGAACCTGCTCCGATTCCGATCGTTCACGCTAATGTGCCCTTCTGATCAGTTCGATAGAACCGCTTCATCCGGTCGACGTCCTTTGGAAATCCTTGTTTGTAAATAACCGGTCAAGCCCCACCCACCCCTCCATTGTTACTATGCAAGTTGCATTTTTTCACCAAGAGCGTCACGTATTAAGATAAACTATCGCTTGCCAATTCCCGGATTTCCTTGCGTAGGCTGCGAAATCACCGTGGGTTTGTTTCAAAGCTGCAATCTTCTTCAGTTTCATTTACCCACCCATAGTCGTTCAGTGTATTGAGTGAGGACATGACAGTGGTGCAGTTGCGATAAAGTTACTCTCATTGCTAGAACCTTATTATTCCTTTGTTTT